ATAAATTTGTTTTCTCCCCCATCTAGAAGCCTTTGAGAGGGAACTGACACTGATTCTTAACCACTCCAACAGCTATCAAAATATTTGAAAGCAAATTCTGAATCCATCACTGTAGATTCCAGTCTTGGAAGACAAAAGAAATATGAGGACGAACCTAATAGAGGGATACTTTTGGAAGCCCTTGTCAAGAAATTCCAATGGACTCTCATATGAACATTTGAAAACAGCCCTGCTCTGACTTTTTTTCTAGTTCTCTGGCTAGAACTTGTAATGCTAACTATCCTTGCCTTTACTTCTCCTTCACATCTCGTAGTCATGTTTCAAAGACTTTCTTTTCCCCTTAAGAGATAAGAGTTATGCAATTTGGGAATCTTTTATATAGACCAATGAAGGGGTACTCTAATTGCCTCACCCTGTGTCCCTGTTCAGCATGGAAGAAGACAGAATGGTCTGCATCGCTATTCCCTATTGGCAATTTGTGTAACCTCTTCAGAGGATGGCGTGATAAGAATAGGAGGTAGGAATTCACTAGGCAGTTTAGGGTAAAAAGACCCCAAAGAAAAGTAGCCAGCTTCTTGGCTAAAAGTCAAAATGTTCTTGGGCCTCTTAGCGACATACTCTGTTCCAAAGGCCAGAAATGTCGAAAGTATTTGGGAGGTGGTACCTACGGTTACCTCTTCAGAGGGGGGAACGTTAGAACAGCCAAAAGGCCTCATTAAAAAACAGAAAAGAAAGGTGCATTAGAAAAAAAATGAAACATTATCAGAAAAATAATAATAATAAAAGAAGAAAGAATACATTGAAGAAAAAAAAGAGGATTTTATTAGAAAAGAAGTATTCTCAAGATATGTGAACCAGTATTTTAGGACCAACTTCTCTTTTCCAACAGAATCTTTACAGAATTGTAGATAAGACTACAAGTCCTAGATCTAGCTTGCTATTAGCTTTCAGAGTGATTGTATAATGAATTAATACATGTAAATAATTCAGTGTAGAGCTTGTTCCATAATATATGTTGAAATATCTGCTTTTAAAAAATAACATTTTGTTGAAAAAAAAATAGACTGGAACAATAAAATTTTATATGTTGAAATATCTGCTTTTAAAAAATAACATTTTGTTGAAAAAAAAATAAGAGACTGGAACAATAAAATTTTCCAACAAACCACACACACACACTACACGTGCAAACCCGGAGCTCAGCAGTGCGTGCACAGCTGCACCCAGTGTGTCTGCAGAGCCGCACAAGCAGGTGTCTAGCTGCATAACTGAGGTCTCCAGGAGGGGTATTCAGGATGAAGACCCGCAAAGCTGTTGTTTAGGACCTTAGGTAGGCAGCAGCCAAGCCACTCGGGGAAGCAGAACTTACTACAGAGCTGTGAGGAGGTTCTGCCTCTGCTAAGCACGGAGCAGTCTCTGTGCACACCCACATGGAAAAGGCCTGGAAATTGAAACCGCAGCTAAAGTTCGCAAGGCCCTAAAAATACTCTATATAAAACTGCAGGGACCCGGTGGGGGTGGGGGTGGGGGTGG